GACTGGTCAAGCATTTGGAACGCCATTTCTTTCTACACAGGGAAAAGGTAGGTACTTTTATTTGAGCGGTTTTATCTTTTTTAAGACCTGAATTGGGAAAGGTATTAGCTTTGCAGGATACGTATGGTAGATTTAGATCATATGCAGAATATCTTTAAACAATAAGACATATTTCAACTTACAATAAGTGATCTAATAACACACGTTCAAACCCAATAATTAAACAAGGACATTACGAAACCGCAGAAAACGGAGAAGAAAGTACGATATTTGATATCTTTATTTAACGTATATAGACAGTATTTTAGAAATATTATAAAGCCATGGAAGAAAGTTCATTTGATATTTATTATAATGTATTTCATCCTTACAGCACCAACGTTAAAATCTGATCATGTTCCCCCAATTATCCAAACCGTTGCCCAAAAGATATGGTTTGGCCTCTCAGAACCCCCCCCCTCCCCTCTCCCCCCCCCTTCCGTCCCACTTACAGGGAGAGATATGGTAAGGAAAAATGAACTTTCGAAACTATGGAAACTTCTTTCTTTATAATGTTTCGGTATGCATGATGTGCCCCAAAGAACCTATAAAATTTTTATTTTGTGGACATCAACTTGTTTCTGGCCTTTATGGAACGCTGAATTCAAGAGGTTAAAGTACTTTAAAGGTATCTGTTTAATTTGGAAGAGAAAGCAAGGTAAATATTCTGTATTGCACCAACTTAAAAAGGACATTTTAAATTTATTATTTTGAACTAAATGTCTTTTTTCATGCGAGTCGTTTGCAAGGAGGTATTTCATGTTAACGACAGACACATTAAGCAACATACCGTGTCACACTGACATCACAAAAATAGAGAACATCTTGGTTAGATGTGATTTTTTTCATTTTTTAACTCATCATAATGCCTTATGCCTCCAAAAAGTATCTTTTAAATAAAGCCAAACAATTCGTGTTAGTTACAGTACAGTATCATAACATTAAACTGCAAGATACGCATCAGTCAGCCTGGTTGATAATATTTGGTCGCTGAGATATCACAAATGTATCAGACGTCTTGCTATCTATTATTAAGATGATACATCGACTACATAAAGCTCACTGTTATTTACAATACTGCCAAAGAAGTAAGTTCATTTGATATTAATTATAATGTTTTTCATCCATAGAGCACCGACATTAAATTCTGATCATATTCCCTCGATTATCCAAACCGTGAATGAGCCGTCATTTTCCAGAAACATATGGTTCGATCTCTAGGTACCCCCCCCCCCCCCCCCCGTTCCACGAACAGAGAGAGAGAGAGAGAGAGAGTGGGAGTGTGAGGGAGGCATGGAAAATACAGATGGACTTTCGGAACTATGTGAACTCCTTTTTTTGTAATGTTCGGGTGTGCCAGATGTGCCCCAAAGAACCTATAAAATTTTTATTTTGTGGACATCAACGTGTTTCTCCTATTAGAAAATAAAATCTCGTGGACAGGGCCTAAACGCTGAATTCCAGAGGTTAAAGTACTTGAAAGGAATCTGTTTAATTTGGAAGAGTAAGCAAGCTTCAAAAATAACATTTTAAACTTATTATTTTGAACTAAATGTCTTTTTATGCGAGTCGTACGCAACGAGGTATTTGATGTTAACGACAGACACATTAAGCAACATACCGTGTCACACTGACATTGCAAGAAATGGAAAACACCTTAGTTAGTTGTTGCTGCCTTTTTATTTCATATCTTCTCAAGTTGTCTGATATCATTACATAAATTGACATACTACAAAATTGTTTAATTACTTGTTCTTAAACAATTTCCATTTTCAATTTTATATTTTCAGAGGTGGAAGGGAGCGGAAAAATATATTTCAAAAGGTGTCTAAATTTTTAACGATAGTAACGTACTTTGATTTTAATGCACTTTAGCCATATTTTATAAAAGTAAAAGCAGTGACTACTGTTCACTGAATTTAATTGCCTTAATATCGTGATGGCGTACAATAATCGTGTCAGTTGAACTTTAATTTCTTTTTTTTTTTCCACTTTTTACTTCTCATTTTTTCTATTTTAGCTCTGTCAAAGTCGGATTGGTTTGAGAAGCAAATAATGTTTGAAATGATGTCAAAATTGTTATCAGTTGGAGGCCGCCAACGAGCGTCTTAGTTCGGGCCCTGCATATTCTCCTGATCTTGGTCGTGCCCATGATCAGCGACTTGATACTGCGGAAAGTAGGGATATTTAGCAACCGGAGCGTAGGGGTAATGAATACTCGCTGAAACGAGAATAAACGAGATCTTGTTATCAATGTCGTTGCAAGAACCGCTTGGATCAAGTGCACAATCAAGTGAAAGCAAGTTTCTTAATCAAAATTTGAGACAAACTATAAGCCACTGGTTTGAAAAGCATTTTACAAAGGTTAGCTATAGGTGAGCACACAGAAAATCAACCTATAGAATAACGAAAACAGAAAATGAATATATTTAAGTTTTTCCATTGATGTTTTCCGCCTGCAGATAGTTTTGATAAATAGACGATTAAGAAATGATGTTTACTTGTTTTGTTCTAAAGTAAAGTTGTTATTATTTGGAGTTGAGATGTTCCAATGAAACTAACCCCGAATTGAATAAACGCGAAGCATTACAAAGCTACTGCTGATGTTGAACTTAAATAACTAACCGCTTAGAGAAATTGAAGACATGGAAATCATTTTGATTGTTCCTTACAGTCCTTTTGGCGAAAAAATACCCATCTTTTGCAACTAAGATATTATAATTTGGCAAATTCTAATTCATTGAGAAGCAAAGGTCAGTGGAAACTACCCTCTATTGTCCAGCGTGCCTAGACCATGTCCAGTATCCAGTATAGTACAGGTATACTGATAATATAGCATGTCTATACCAAGCTCAGTATACGGTATAGAATTGACCATCCAAGAGTACGATGGGAACAAGAACAGGCGTGTTAGTCCGTTAATTTGGTTGTATTCAGCGAGAGTCCCTGCTGAGTTAGTGAGCACTAGCGTATTCTACAACCTCTGTGTAACCATTTTACTTACGTCTTGGGCAGTCTCTTGGACATCCCACACAGATCTCTTTGTCCTCTGGTCCACACATAACACTGTCCACTGCAGGTCCGGTACATTCTGGTGAGTTGACCGGGGTAGGGTTGGTACAACTACGGTGTCTGATCTTTATTCCGTTACAACAGCCAGTGTTGATGGACCACGGGGACCATCCGCCAATGACTGAAAAGATGGAATATTTAGTCTGAGTTTGCTCCAAGCTGAGGACATTTTACAGCAAACATTTCACAGCAACTTCAAACAAAGTCATTGAATGTTTTGAGAGTGAAATGCTGTAAATGAGACGGGTGTGCGCGTGTGGTAATATTCCAAATGGAACTTGTTCTGGAAACCTGAATTATCATTTTAAAAAAGAATACCAGTCTTGTTACTTGTAAGCTTATATTTTGTGGATGGTTTTTTGAATTCCCAGCATGTTATAACACTTCAATGAAAATCTGAAAACAAAAACGAGCACACTTACTGACACACATGTGGGTATTACATGGTTCCACCTCAACAGACGCTCCGGCACAGCAAGAGGGTTTGGTACCAACGTTATAGAAATAATGGTAGTGAACCTGCTTCACAATACACTCTCTTGTTCGCATCTTGATTCCTCCGCCACAACTCGCCGTGCACATGCTGTAATTACCCCACGCGGCCCATTCGGCAATCCAGGCTAAATACGAGGGCGCATTGATCACATCATGGGCTGGATATTGAAGACAAAAAGAATAGTTTCCATTAACATGCCCCATGGGATAAAATTAGAGAACGAAGTGACTGGAACTTTTTATATTATCATTTCAAGACAATATGAAAGATTACTCATTGCATTAACGCTGTTGCTGACACATACATTGTAGCAGATGGTTAGATACAGTCAATTCAAAGAGGAATATCATTTAAAAAATAGAAACAGTGAGTGAATGAGCATTCTGTACATTTTACAAGATGTATTGATAAAGTTAAATCCATAAAAAGTATGGATAATTTGTTTTTGTTTGAGAGAAAGATAGAGATGTTTTTATCTTCACGAAGTAAATTAAAAATTCACATTTTACCTGCCGAATGCGCCCAGAGTCCTAGAAAAAGCACTCCGATGAAACTTGTCTTCATCATCCGATGGTGAAACCCCCGAGGAGACGCGTCCAGCGAGTAGAAGCTCCACATTTATAACACCTGAGAGACAGTTCTGCCAGGTCAACGTTGCCATGGTAACAGCTCGTTCCGGTCGTTTCACCAATGAAAAAAGTTGAGGCTGATGACGTCCCAGCTGCCCAAGCCGTCTTCAGGTAACCTCGGGTGTTCACATCTCGACGTTAGGGGAGAGGGGGCGGGGATGCCACGGGGACTAGGAATGAGTGTTTTTCCTTCAAAAGACGACCTTTCGCTTGCACCAACTTCACCTCAAAGATATGCATGTGCTATCTGCCCATCTATGTTTATAACCATCTTTCTATTTCAGTTTAAGTCGTGCATATTTTCGATGGAACTACCCCCTCCCCTCAACACAAAGAAACTGAAGTTATTTAAATGTGTTTTTTCTGGTTGACTGAAATCGCAAGCAAAATAATGTAAGTTAATAATTGTAAACCGCGCAGAGAGACACAATGCAGTGCTCTTTCTGTGAATCAGACTTTAGTTTTTTTTTTTTTACTTTTACGTTTTCCGTAGAAGCGTATTTTATCATAACACAATGTATAGCTTTATTATTATAAAACTGAAGAATTGCACTACTGGCCGCCAGGAATGGCCTAACTCGGTAGGAATCGGGTCAAGCTGGAATGGCACGAATCTTTATCCTTGTCACCAGAAAAGACACAATTGACATCCCAAATGTGTCTGTGAGTTTACACTAATGCGTGTGTAATGTGCATGTGTGCTTGTGTGTGTGCGTTTGTGTGTGCGTCTGTGATAATGTGCTTGTGTGTGTTAATGCGTATGTGTGCCAGTGTGTGTGAATCTGTTTGTTCGTGTGTACGTACGTGCGCACGTATGTGTGTTCATCTCCGCAGTTTCAGCTTTGGTGCTTGAGACACCTCATCAGATGATCATTACTAGTAAAAATATTTGTCATGCAATATAAATACTTCACCAAAAGGTATGCAGTTCTAAACAAAAGATCAAAAGGATCCAGAATTGACACTGTTGCGAAAATACCATTAGAGAAAACATAGTAATTTTATATTTTCAGAATTTTGCTAATTTGATAAGGACCTTAACAAAAATAAAATTTTAATTTTTGCACCTAAAAATAGTATATAACTTGGCCTACAAACCTTGTTTGGAACGGTGAAAACTTAAATTTTTGATTACGTTTTTATAATAGAACAAAGATAAATCTTGAATAATTAAAGTGAAAATAAAATGTTGTATTAGATGTTATTGTCTCCTCAATATGCATTGTCCTAGGTTTTCTTTTTCATTTCGTTTTCAATTTCACGTAAACGTAAGTCTTTGTCGTCTGCTTCAATCCAGGAAAGAACTACTTCCGGTGTAACACGTGATCGTGGACATGGCCGTCATCTGGACCGTGGTGGTGGTGATGGTGAAACATGTACGCTGAAACGAGAAAAATACCTCATTTTGAGTCGGAGAGTCAGTTTCAGGTAGTGCTTTCCATTTCTTTTAAAGAATACAGATCTACGTTTGAAGAACAAAAGAGATGAACTCCAAAATGTGGACTGACATTTCTTAAGGTACCTTCCAATTTAATTTGCCAGAAACTAAAAAGGAAGGATATTACAGAAAAAGAGTGTGACTTTACAGAACACATTGTTTGAGTAACCATTCTACTCACGTCTTGGGCAGTCTCTTGGACATGCCACACAGATCTCTTTATCCTCTGGTCCACACATAACACTGTCCACAGCGTGTCCTGCACACTCAGGTGAGTTGACCGGGGGAGGGTGGGTACAAGTACGATGTCTGATCTTCAGCCCGTTACAACAGCCGGTGTTGATGGACCATGGGGACCATCCGCCGACGACTAAATGAAAAAAGAAACACATATTTGACAGTTCTCTGGATTTCTTTTATACTACGAGGACAAATTACGATGTAAAATTTAATTAGAATCGACAACCCCACGGCGACCACATCCCAATTCACATTATAATCCCGAAGAACCTCTGCAAATCCCTAATGTTAAGTCAATTAATCCTGGACGTTTCTAGTTCGTCACTATGATGGTTTAGAAATTAACTATGTGAAATAGATTATACATGTATATAATCCTCTGTCCCAGGGGCAGCCTGACCAAATTCAACATACCTAGCCGAAGGAACCCCGTACTCCAATTCTACCTCAATAGCACTTCAAACCATTTCATTGACTTTTCGGTTGCAAGATGCGTTGCAGTTGCAAAATGCGCTTAGATGCATAATGCGATTCTACTAGTAGCGCCGCATTTTGCAACTGAACGCATTTTGCAACCGGTTGCAAAACTCATTGGTGATTTTTCGTGCAACCGATGAAACGTTTCAGTTCAAGCTCTTTACTTCAACCTCTCTATACTCTGCGGCAATTTAGTGAAGTTCTTCCAGACTCTGCTTGATGAATTATGTAATAGACCCCATGCTAACAAGTATAGCAGCAACGAAACTGTATCGTTAGTTGTAGCGACCTTGTCATGCTTGTGCATCATCCGAGCCCTAATCCTTTTGTTCCCCAGAGGTAGGGTGAGATCTTGACAGAACGAGGGATGAGACTGCCATTAAGGGTAAAAATGTGAAAATACCGCGTGGGGTCCAGGGGCCATCTGCATCGATCTCAAAAATGAAATTCTTGGCACCCAAAACGTCGGAATCAGTAGACAGTCAGAAAAATATCATTACCGCCGAAGTGCATTCAGTTTTATGCAGCATCCATGTCGTATTATAGCTTGAAAGACATTACATCGAAATATTAAAGCTAGACCACATTTTGATACTGTCTATTGAATGAAGAAATAGTGCTGCTTATTCTTTCCGTTTTAAATTCCAAACGGTAAACAAAATTAAACAATATTAAAATGATGACAGAGGTAGACTTACTGACACACTGATGCGTATTACAGGGGACGATCTCAACGGACGCTCCGGCGCAACAAGAGGGCCTCATTCCAACGCTATGTAGGGTGTGATAGTGGACTTTCCTAAGAATACACTCCCTCGTTCGCATCTTGATTCCTCCTCCACAACTTGCAGTACAAATGGTGAAATTGCTCCAGGTGCCCCACTCGGCGACCCAAACCACGTAGTCAGGCCCGTGAGCTACGGCGTGGGCTGATAATTAAGAAACAGTTTTAATTCATTTGTCATAGGGTATGAAAATAAAGGAAAATAAATTGTTAGAAATTTCTCAATTTTTTTTCAATATCAGTGTGTAAAAGAAGCAAAGATGAGACAATTGGAAAAACTTCAATAAACAAAAGGTAAATTATATATGTGATATACAAATGAAAAAAACCAACTGAAAATAAAGAAGAAAAAATATATTAGTTTAAGAAAGATTAGAGAAATGACAAAATGACCATTTTCAATAGAGTTAACAGGCCAAATACTAACCTGACGTCAACGCCGAGAGACTCAGGATAATCCCAACCACGCCAACGAACTTCATGGCCGCCCCTTGCTGAAACCTTAAGACAGCTGCGTGGTGCATATAAGAGTGTCGCGTATTTAAATAGTGAACACCGTCACCGCAGACACATTGTGTCACGGCAATTACCCTTAAAATGTTATGTAATTTGTTGTTGCTCTTAATTGCCCCTAATTTAAAAGTGTCAGGCCGTATCCAGCGCCGCTTAAACCTAAATTGTTATAGGACTGAAAACAGGAACTAGACCGTTTGCTTGCAATTAAAAGTGGATTTCGCTTGGGAGGCTGGGTCGACCCTTGTCATTCCTCGAAGTGGTAGTTGTTGAAATCGGTACCCTTTGTTGATACGTTGCTACTGAGATTTGATCTTCTTGTTGTTTTCAACAGTTTTTTTCTTGAAACTGTGCACGGTGCAGCCTGATATTGTCTTAAAGTGCGCGTTGCAAAGATTTGAATTAAACATTATTTTCCTTGTTAATATTCTATTCAAGTAGTCATTGTAACCATCGTTGTCATTTGATTTGAAAAATGGGTCTGTGTCTGAATCTGTATGTTTTAACGTTTTACTATCTGTTGCCAGTGTAACGAAACTGAGGGTCTGTGTAACAGAAAGTCCGCCCTCCATATTGTTATAATGGTTAGGGTTAGTCTGACCTAAGTGGGTCAAAATCTAGGGCAAGTCTCACCTGTACAAATGAATGAGAAGCGGACTCTCTGTTATGGAGGACTATCTGTCACGTTACACCGGCATGGCAGAAATTATCTATATAATTATTATTTTCATTTTCATTTTCAACGATGTTCTTATGTTATTCAGATTGTGTTAGATGAAAAACTACTAACACTGCTCAATTTGGTAACGTGTTCAGTTGTATAAAAGGCGATGTCGCACGTGCGCGGTGATTTATTACTTACCGACAGAGTGAAGTTATGGTTTAATGATACATGTAGCTTGTGAAAAATTTATGTATTTAATATAGTGAAATTTAGATTTCACATTATATAGAAGTGTTTTGTGTGATTTACATAAGTTTACATTTTTTTTATGATTATAATCAGTATTGAAGGAAGGCTATGGGCATTGTGTTTATCAAAGTGTATGTTGGTATGGGTGTGGCATTTTCATGTATTTTTACGTTTTTAATAAATTACAGCAACAGCTTAGATTGTCATGACCGTCTCTGGGAAGCCAGTTGGCAGCGGAGAACGAGTATGGATATCGTTTTTAAGTAAGTGTTTGAAATTAAATAATTAGTGAAGTAAACTTACACGTATGTAAAGATTGATTTTTTTAGACAAGATTACATGAATTAAGTTATTTAGTATATTTGGTTTATTTACCTCGATATTTAATTTTTTATAGTTTTCACCAGTTTCTGTTCAGTTCAGTTGAATTCGTCTGTGAACAGTTCACACTGTGATGTTTCTTCGTTTTTACTCGTGGTCCGCTATACTATCCCTACAATCATCCTTGGGACTTTGAAAATGGCTGGCTGGTCATTTCATTACATCATCCTTTACAATGGGTATAACAGCCCGCTTGGCGCCAGGTGTCGCTAGTGTGAATTCAGTACTTCCACAGTCGCCATTTTGGAAATAACACACGTGGGACTGTGGCACTGCTCATAATAAACATGCCTCAGTATTGTTGTGTACCTGAATGTCAAAGTCGGAAAGGTGGGCATAATTTTTCTGAGGATTCAGGGCTTCGTTTGAAGTGGAGGGTTGTCCATGTCAACACACCTTCCATGTTAAAGGGCCAGTCACAACTTGAACCAGGCACAGTAATTAGAGATAGAGGAGTTGCCTCAAAAAGAATACACTCAGAAAGGTTATTGATCTTGGCAAAACTTATAAAATTTTGAAAAGAGAGCTCCATAGCGAGAAAGTGCCCCTAGATAATGTCTTTCTTATGTCCAATTTCAGAAGAGATATTGTCAGTAAATACCTGTATATGCATGGTAGGCTATACTCAGTTACCATTCCAGTGGCGTTATCAGGCCCGTAGCCAGCAATTTCAAAAAGGGGGGTTCTTTTTATGAAAAAGTGGACCTTTTTCCATAAAAACTTCATGAACCTAGATCAAATTTTACCCAGAGTGGACCTTTTCCCACCAAAAGGGGCGGTTCTTTCGAACCCCCCGACCCCCCCTGGCCACGGGCCTGGTTATTTATACACTCTTGGCATCGTGTTACATCCTAAACATGTTAGAAAGTACTTTTAATTAAGTGTTTTAGGTATTTCAGCTGCATTATGTTTGAATTCTTTATATTTCAAACCATCATTGGCAGCCATAGTGGGAGCAGTTGACTGCATTTGAGTTCGCTTCATATATCATTCGAGGCACCTTCTTACATACTTCAGCCTGTATTCAGCCAGCAGTCAAACCACACTCGTACGGCATTTGAATTTCATTCGGAATATTCTGACTGCAATTTGAAATTTCCTCCCGATTATGGCACTGATTTTTCAATTAATTCATTCTGGCTGGTTTACCTTGATTCCTGCTGGTTCCGAATAAGTGCGACGGGGGCCTTAAGTCAGTTCGAATATCCCTCGAATATCCCCTGTGATCAGAATGTTTCGAATGTTGTCGGAATGCCGTGAGAATATTTAGAATGCAGTCACAGAGCTGTTGGAATACTATCCAAATGCCATTCGATAATTTTTCACTTGGAATGCACTTCGAAAGTTTTTAACATTCAGGCCGACAACAAGAATGGGTAAAACTATTTGAAATGCACTCGGAATGTTTAGAATTCTCTTTGAATATCCAGGATGCACAAAGAATTGTCTTTCCGACGGCATTCTTGTTCATTCTGCCTCTAGTGTGACGGGGGTATAAGTAGACGTTTATTGGTAAAGACAGGAAATGTGATTCAACCTCGGTAGTTGTTTATTTAATTTTATTAAATAATAGGAAACAAGACAGTAATAATTCCTTCAAGGAAATTTGCCAGAAATCCGAAATGAAAGGAACTGATGTTACACCCATCCATAAGAAAAAGGACACTTTTGACAAGGAAAATTATAGGCCAGTAAGTGTGCTCCCAGTATTTTCAAAAATATATGAAGGGATTATGGCAGAACAACTGAACTCTTTTTTCTCAGACATTTTCTCATCACTTTACATTATCAAACTTTAATTATTGTCCGTTAGTATGGCACTTTTGTGGTGAGGGAAATGTGAAAAAATTAGAAAAGATACAGGAAAGGGGTCTAAGATTTGTCTACGACAACCACACAAGCAGTTACGACGAGCTTTTAAATATGTCAGGCCTCAGCACTCTGCCCTTGAACAGGCTACGTATGCTTGCACTTGAGGTTTACAAAGCTATAAATGGACTTGCACCTTCCTAAATCTCCGACCTTTTCCAGGAAAGAATAAAAAGTTACAACCGTAGAGGAGAAAAGACTCTAAATATACCCAGATTTAACACAGTGACATACGGCAAAAAAAACCTTATCATATCTTGGGCCAGAAATATGGAATGATCTCTCAAATGACTTAAAGCAAAGCATCAATTCAAATGAGTTTAAATCACTTTTAAGGCTTTGGGAAGGACCCAAATGCAGATGTAGCCTGTGTAACCTATATGCTTTTAGTGAAACTGTGTGATAATGGTCGCTTTGTAAACCTCTAAGGTTGTAACTTTTTATTATTTTCCATTTAACTGAAATCGCCTTCGTATTGTATACGTGAAATGTGGCGTTTATCGTCCAGCACCTTGCTTTGGAAACTGAAATAACTGCGCTGAAGAAAGAAAAAAACGAAAGCGAAATTGACGGCGCTTAACCATACTAAATGTCTTGAGAAACATCTGAATTAAAGCCCCTTTCCTCTTGTTTGAATAAATATATCGTCAAATTGTCTTGATAGTTTTAATTATGTCAGTTTTTACAGTATACGTGTGAATTAGATTGGCATTATTTCCATGGTATTGTGGGTAATATCAAGATAAGATTGTAATTTCGCACTTTCAAAGATTTTTCTCCTATTTTATTCTAAAAATGCTGCGACCCTGGTCAACAATTAGGCCAATTTGCATGAGAATATCTTGCCGAGTTATGGAGTTTCGTCGAAAAGCGATTGCTACCTCACGCCAATTTGCAAAGCAGCGAAATGGAAAATTAACGGTTGGGCACCCAATCGAACCCCGTAAAGCGAATTAAGTGATGAATAATGCAACAAAAACAAACTTCGTACTATTACCACGCTTTAGTTGTTGTTCACAAGGGTAAAACGTAATCAACACGAGTCTAGAGTCCGGTTAAATATGGTGCTTTATTCTTTCCTTTAAATGATTTCTTTACACATATACTCTGGAATAATCTAGAACAAGGCGTTAAGGCAAAACGATGTTTTTTTCTGATTTAGCCTTTCTTCTGTGCTTCTTGAATAGATGTGAGAACTAAGGCAAAGGTGTTTTTTTTTCTGATTAAGCCTTTCTACTCTGCTTCTTGATTAGATGTGAGAAAACAGTGATAAGGCAAATTGTGTTTTTCTCTGATATAGCCTTTCTTCTCTACTTCTTGAATAGATATGAGAACACGGTGATAAGGCAAAATTGTTTTTTTTCTGATTTAGCCTTTCTTCTCTGCTTCTTGAATAGATATGAGAACACGGTGATAAGGCAAAATTGTTTTTTTTTCTGATTTAGCCTTTCTTCTCTGCTTCTTGAATAGATATGAGAACACGGTGATAAGGCAAATTTTAACCTTTCTTCTGTGCTTACGAGAAGCTTACACTTATATCTACACCTTGATATAACTTTCCTAGAATCTACAATCGCATTTTAGAGCTGACCGACCAAATAATCAATACGTTTGAGATTTAACTTTTAGTAAACAGATTGTATACTCCGTTCTATGCGTTTGTTCTTATCAAGATTATCTTCATAATGCAATCAATATACGGAGACAATATTAAACAATGCACACTGAAGTGTTTGAAGAGTCTACGGCTTTGGTGCTGTATGTGGAGCTTGGTTCACACTTAATGCTCATGGTAATGTTGAAAACCAAAATGCCACAAATAAAAATGCATG